CTGGCGAGGGCGAGGGGTCACCGGCCGCGCGAGCGGCCGCCGTCGTCGTCGTCGGCGCCGCCGCCGCCGCCGCCGTCGTCGGCGTCGTCGTCGCCGTCGTCATCGGCGTCGTCGTCGTCCCAGTCGTCCTCGTCGTCCTCCTCGCCTGCCTCCTCAGCCTCCGCCGCCGCCTCCGGGGGCCTCCGGTGGGGTCGGGCGCGCTCGTCAGTGGGGCCGAGCACCCCGCGTGGCGCTGGCGGGGCAAGGACGACGGCGGCAGCGCAGGCCAAGATGGAACCTGGCATCAGCCAGGGAGGTCTGCGCGAGGATCATGGAGCCATTCAGGGGCCACTGCGCTGGGTTGGGCCGGCTGGGGCCCCCAAGATTGAGCGGGGTTAAGCTGGACTGCTAGCCGAGATTGGGCGGAATTGAAGGAGGCCGTGCTGGACCAGGTCGGCCACGGATATATATATATATATATATATATATATATGTATATATATGTATGTATGTATGTATGTATGTATGTATGTATGTATGTATGTATGTATGTATGTATGTATGTATGTATGTATGTATGTATGTATATCAGCGCAGACGCTGCATTCAACATCCCGGGACTTGCATCCGAGTTAGCGTGCGGGCAGACAAGCAGACGGGCGGGCAGGTGGAACGAAGGAGAGGGAGCAGATCCTCAAACCGAGAGGCAGGAGCGGAGGAGGGAGGGTGGGTGGACGACCACTCGAGGTGCGAATGCGGAAGATGCGAATGCGGACAATGAAGAGGAGCTATCGATGCGACAGGGGGGGCAGACGACACTCCATCTTGATCGCGTCCACCAGCTTCCCATCGGGTAGAGGAATGAACATAGGAAATCGCGCTCGAAGCTGCCAAGAAATCCAGCGTCCTGAACGCGAGTCCTATGCGTGGGAGGGGGGGGAACAGCGTGATGGTCAGTGTGAGGACGAAGAGACAAGTAGACTCGGCCATTCTTAACGTGCGGGACCGTTTGCGAAGGGGGGTGACAGCAACGGGCGCACGCCTGCGTGGGACATGGGCGACGAAGGACACGGAGGATCCGACAGATCGAGAGGCCTGGGATGAGGATGAGGATGCTGATCACGATGATGAAGACCTGGATGGCAGAGACGATGGGAGAGGGACGCAGGGGACCAGGGACTGGGAGCGGCAGCTGCTGGCGACGCTCGCGTGGTGCACGGGCCTGACTGTTCCCCGGGACGTGAAGCTGCGGCTCGGGTGCCGGACTTGGAGCGGGGCCGCCCTCGCCCGGCGCCCACCCGCCAGAGACGACCGCCAAGTCTGCGGTACGCCCGCGAGGCGACCGGCTCTCTCAGACACCCGGCACAGCCAAACTGCGACCACCGCACCAGCCGAAGGGCCACAACCACTACACAGGCAGCCAGCAATCTCTGGACAGCCGCGCGTGATCGGCCAGGCACGTGCTCTTGAGCAAGGTGGCTACGCAGAGACTGAACGGCTCACATCAAAGAAAGGCACGCGGCCTTCCTGCGGCTAGAGGACCACCCCGTCGGACCTGAGCGAGAGGCCGCAGCCAGACGCTGCTCCGCTGCAGCCTGGCCTGTCTTGAGCCCTCCGGGGCGGCTGGGCTCTCGCTCCCGTGGACTTGCGCGCATGCAGGTGCACCCAGCGACGCTCCAACGCTGCTCCCCCGTACCCCCAATTGTCTGCAGCAGCAGCCGGCGCGTGCCTCGCTGGATCGACGGCTTTGGCGAATCCTACCCCATGCCGCAGCATATATCGGTGGCTAGCGGATCTCATCGGCAAGAGAGCGGGCAACGGTCTGAACGTTCACCTTGACATCGTCAGAGTCGGCGAGCTCGGAATGTCCCTGATCAGCGGAACATCGAGATGCGGGCGCGGTGGCAAACGCGTTCACGCCCGGCGCGGCAGGGACGCGCTACGTAGACCCCGAGGAAGCCCTTCACAGAGAAGCGAACCGAAGACAGCCACTGCAGCCGAACCTGTGGGCTTGAGCCAACACTGTTCCGAAAGAAGACGGCCGACGGCCGCCGGCCGACGGCCGCCGACGCACGCCAGAAACGGCCGACGGCCGTCGGAAGCCAGCCGACGCAGAACCTGCTGGCCGCTGGACAGACCCAGCTGGCCGCCCCGACGGCCGACTGCCGAGCTGGCCGCCAAGTGCATCACACGCGCGCTGCTGCAGCACCAGCTGCTGCTGCTGGCAGCCTCAAAACTCGCACCATCAAACTCCCAGATCCTGCAGGCCCCTGGCGACCGAGGACAGAAGAACACCCTTCGAGAACATGAGACCCTCCGCCGGCCAAGGTGAAAAACACTCGAGGGGTACCCTCCCCCAGAGTACGCACGAGAACATCCGACAAACCCGAAGAACCTCCGACCGTCGTGCACCACCGCTCAGCCCTGACCTGCACAAACCCACTAAGGATGAGGAGGAGGAGGAGGAGGAGGAGGAGGAGGAGGAGGAGGAGGAGAAAGAGGAGGAGGAGGAGGAGGAGGAGGAGGAGGGGGAGGAGGAGGAGGGGGAGAAGGGGGAGGAGGAGAAGGGGGAGGAAGAAGAAGAAGGAGAAGGAGAAGGACGAGGAGGAGGAGGAGGAGGAGGAGGAGCAGGAGGAGGAGGACCTCCTCATCCTCCCTTCTCCTCTTGTCCTACATCTGGCAGCGGTGGTGGGCAATCTGCCCACCAGGGAGGAGCAGACGGAGGGCGAGGAGCAGCAGCGCGGGGGGGAAGCATGCCCGGGGGGACCTCCCGGGGCTCGAGATCCAGGGATCGGGGAGCGCAGCCATCCGAAGCACGGCGCCACAATGTGGCGGCGCGCGGGAGGGGGGGAATGGAGGAGGGGGGAGGGCTTCTTAGAGGCAGGAGTGCTTCTCAGAAGGCTCCTTAGAGGCAGGAGGGAAGGGGGAAGGGGGAGGGGGGAAGGGGGAGGGGGGAAGGCTCCTTAGAGGCAGGAGGGGGGAGGGCTTCTTTCGGGCGTTGGCAGAACTGGGTTTAGTGGAACCTGGTTCAGTGATTTGTACCGGGGGCGCCCCCCCGTCCCATTTCCGCTGACCGAAAGGAACTGCCGTCACCCGAAGAACACCAGTTACAGCAAACCTGGTTTAGTGAATCTGGCCAACTGAAGGGCCCCAGGGCCCTACCACTAACCAGGTCCCCTTACCCGGGGTCCTGGCTATACCTGATTCTTAGAGGCAGGAGTGCTTCTCAGAAGGCGCGGGCCTTCCGTCCACAGACGAGGCCCACGCCTTCGAAGAAGCAGGGATACCTCTGAGAAGCCCTCCCCCCTCCCTTCAACCCCCTCCCCTCCTGAGCGTGGCTGACATTGCGCCACGACCCTCCTCAGAATCAGACGCAAGCTTTCAATGCTGGTCGACGCGCGAAGCGCGGCCCACGGGGTCAGAGGTCTGCGCTTGCAGTCACCCATGTCGGCGCGAACGTTGAGATTGGGGAGCCCTGGGGCGCCGCCTCGTCGCGGGAAACACCTGCGTTTGACTCCCAGGGAGAACGCACCCTCCGAAGCACTTCGCCAGTGCCGCCCGACTCGGCGACGGCGCGTGCCGCTCCTGCCTGGAAGCGGCGCCCGCCGCGAATCCACTCGCCCCGATCCACATCTGCGCTTCCTCGATCCCGCTGCCCGCCCCCTGGAGGGGCAATGACTGAAGGGGAACTGGGACACACAAATGAATATAAACAAATAAAAGTATCCCCCATATTTTCCCATATTTTCCGGGTTTTTGTCTTCCCCACCACTTTCCATATTTTCCCATATTTTGGGGGGACTCGACGATTGATTGTGTCTGTGTGTTTCTTCCCCTCCTGAATGGCAGAGGGGGGGACCGGCCCAGGGAGGGGGGAACCATCGACCTGGAATCGGCGATCCGTGGCCGACAGATCTGCGATGGGCCACCGAGAGCCAACCCGCACGTCCACGGGCGGGGTGGGCTCTATCGGGCCCCTGTCGGCGGTGAATGGGCGGTTGGGGGTCGATGTGTCCCCTGCGGAGCCCACAAAAGGTTGCCCCCGCCCTCCCCGGGAGAGCCCAGCACCGAGTCGACAGGTCGGATCGGGAATCGACACGAATCGGATCGGCGGAAATCGGCAGCCGAATCGGGAAAAGCCGAATCGGCGGAGACCGGCAGGCCGGTTGCATCCAAAAGGAAATCGGAACGCACATCGGAATCCGAAACCGAATCGGATCGGAATCGGAGAATCCATCGACACCGAATCGAATCGGATCGGAGGACCCAGAACGAAACGAGCCCTGCCCCCCTCCTTTCGGGAGCGGCCAAGAGGGGGGTGTCCAAGACGGGGGGGGGTGCAAATCGTGACCGGCGGCATGTGCGCGGCCCAGCGGGGGGGGGGCCAGGGACGCAATGAAATCAGAAGAGGCGCCCTGACATCTGGGGAAACATCATGACCCCCGCCATGCTATCCACCCCCCCTAATTAGTCATCACCCCCCTCTTTCCCGCCCCCGATCCTCGCGGGGAGGGAGCCCCGGCAGCCTCCCCGTGCCGGTTCAGCGTCGGCGGCGGGAGGCTGCCCACGGACATCGGAACCCGCATCGGAATCCGACACCGAATCGAATCGGAATCGGAGAATCACTCGACACAGAATCGAATCGGATCGGAGGACCGAAAACGAAACGAGCCCTTCCCCCCTTTCCTCGCGGGGAGGGAAACCCAGGAGCAAGAGCAAGAGGAGGAGGAGGAGGAGGAGGAGGTGTTACGATTCCTTCACCCGCAGCCGGCTTGAGCCTCGAGCCCAGGATAAATTCCTCCATATCGAAATCACCCGCTTATCTTTTCATGGTGGCGGAGCCGTGGTGACAAATACACGGACTTAGGATACATCCCCAACCCAAGTAGGGCTCTGGGAAGACTCGTTGTAGAGTAGCATCCCCAACCCAAGTAGGGCTCTGGGAAGACACCTAGTGTAGGAACAATGGCAGCAGTGATTGACACGAAGTTGTTAGGACGTGGTCTTAAAGATTTCTCGGG